TAATTTTAAATACTCCTAGCTTACTTAAAGTTTCAAACGGGGTGTCTGTGGCAGGATCCACCCCAAAAATTAGCTTTCAAATTACATATTGTTATTAATGTCGCATTCGGGCATTACATAGTCCTTTTATATCCACAGTTTTTTTTTTATATAAGACCTGTAAACCATTTAGTAACCTCCCCTGTAGGTACCTGGAAGGGGGTTTGCTTTGAATCTCTTAAAAGTTCTTAGTCCTTTTTTTTGCTGTTAATGACAGAGTTCATAAATGTGATAAGGGCACACTATTATGCCGCTTCACATTCTCTGGTTTCTTCTTATGTATATTTCATAGAATGTAGGTTTTTAGTACAGTTTACATTTTTACATGAATCTCCATAATATGATTTTGTCCCACTGCTGTCACTTGCTGTATTTCAGCTGACTAGCACAATTAAATGATATGTTGAGTCAGGAAAACAGAGGTAAACATCAGTGATTTACAGGGGACTAATAGGACTGTATACACATGTATTTAACATCGGTCAGTTAAATTGAACAAAACCCTGAGAAATAGCTGTGGATATAGCAACCTCCTCTACATGCTCAGTGCACGTTCAATATGCTGTTTATTCTGGAAAAATGTATCTTAAACCAAGCAAGGTTGGATTTACAGAGGAAGCACTGCAGTCATGTTCTGTTTTCTCCTTTTTCTTCTAGATGGTGAAGCTTCAGGAAATATTTAAGTCATTTTACCTGGGAAAACACAGTGGCAGACGACTACAGTGGCAGTCAACGTTAGGACATGCTGTTTTGAAAGCAGAATTTAAAGAAGTAGGTGCAATGTGATGGATTTAAACCTGTCTAATGTCACTATTGTGCTTTGTTGTTTTTCATGCCAACATTTGCCCTAGTTACTGAACACCGCACTTTTTATGGTGCTGGGGTTTTTTTCACGGTGGTTTAACTTCAGCATTCACATTTGTTCACCCCCTGGACAAAGCTATTTTTACTTTTTTGCTATAAGCCAAGTTATTCACCAATAACGTTGTCATTACTTAAGATAACAAAGTTATACATATTAAATGTGTTGGGATAAAGAAAGCTTTCCTTACTTGATACTGTCTTGCAAAAAAATTACGTGACAAAAAAAATTAATGCAGAAAAAAAAACTAAAAAAAAAATGCAATATTAATGGTTACAAAAACAATTAAAGAAACAGCAGAAAACTAATAGCCAAGGAATGGAGGTGAAGGAGTTATTTAGGGCTTATTAAGGTTAACTAGGGACTAATACACTTTTTTTTTTCTTATTTGCTCATCTGCAGGTAACACAAACCCTAAAGAATTTAAAAGCCCATCCAGTAGCTCCCAGCCCTCAGTTCTTGTATTTACTGTCTCCTGCATACACACCCATGCTCAGCTTTGTTTCCCACCATGGTCTTTCTGGCTTTTGCAGAGAA